AACACAACTCCATAGCCTTAGAACTTGACAAAACCGTGGCTGTTCATGGAAGTTTGGACCATGAAAATGGTATGGTTGTGAAGAGGAGAGTGAGGGGAGGAAGTTTGGTGCAGGAGGTTTAGTGATTTGGAGGGGTTTTGGAGGTGAAATCTTAGAGAGAAGTGAGAGCAATGTTTGAGTTTCAAATTTTAGAGAGAGAGGAAGGTGGGAGGCGCTGGAATCTGGTCTGAAATGGGAGGGGAAGGTGCCCTAATTAGGAGTGCCATGTCACTTTAGTGGCATTCGTCCTTTAGTGAGACCTGATGTAATTTTTATTTGAACCGTTGTCAAATTTTTACCCAGAAACTTCTAAGACTCTAATTTTAAGTAATTAACATTAATTTTGTCTAATTATCATGTCCATAACTTAAAAAATTTGATTAGTAGATCACAGATCCACTAATAGTTATTTAATTGCACTGTAGTCTTTACTGGTGTTATTAACTGTACTCGGATTTCATAATCTTCTTAAATTTAATATTATTGGTCTAATTATGACTTGTTAGGCATATATTGGGCTTTCATTCCCTTATTTAATCTTTTTCCCATTCCAGGATTCTACCGGTTGTTGCTACAGCAGTACAAAATATTTGATAAAAGTGACTTTTCAGAAATACCCAATATGAGTATCAATCTTCACCATTTTCATATACTAACCTCATTCATGATGTCTATATCATTAGATTAGCTCTCTAACTCATATTTGCTAGATTGGAGCTATTCTACAGACAGTTACTACGTCAGCAGTCAAAATTAACAGATAAAAATTCATCTGTGCAAAATACCCTCAATATGGGTATCAAAATTCTTAGAATTTCATCCTTATTCCATTCATGACCATAAGATCCTCATCATAACCCTCTAATTTAAAAGTAATATAATTAGGGTTATTATACCGAAATCTTAGAAGATTGTAGTGGTTTATCAAGCACCTTTGAAGCTTGATAGTTAGTGGAAAGTTGATTGAGCGGCTTCAGTCTGGACGTAGGTCTCGATTGTGGTGACCGAACTAGGATACATGTTGTTTGCAATTTCTCTAACTTTCAACTCTTTACTTTTATTTTGAAATTGCATTATTAGATTGTGTTGATTTATGTATTAGCTTATATTTATTGATTACACACTAGCACCTACACTTATAATTGTCCTTGTTAAATCACTTAATTGAAGAAATATTCTTTAAAATTTCAAAGGAGGCATTTTGCGAATTTTTTTATAATACTCAATTCACCCCCTCTTGAGTATTGAAGCCCCTTGTCTAACAGTTATTTCTCCTATCGACTGAGAAATATATTTATGAAATAGTATCTTTAAACATGTTGAGAGCTTGAAGATGACTGTATGTCATAAATTTTGAGATATCATGTTGTATTGTGACATATTGGATTATTTAACTTGAGCAATTTCATGTCGTTTGGAAATTGCGTCAATGCAATTTCATGTTAAGAACACTTGTATTGAAAATAACAATTTCACGTTGTTTAGAAGCGTTATGTGATTTCATATTGTTGAGAAATTGTATTAAGGAGTGTAATTTCATCTTGCTAGGAAACTACACTAATGTAATTTTAGGTTGTTGAGAAATTACATTGAGGAACGATAAAAATTAGAGTATTATACTGATTGATCATATTTTTGCTCTAATTCTTACCACACTGCTAGGCCCATAATTGATGAAGATATAATACTTATTGTATATATGTGTATGGAAGGTCTTATGTTATGTTATTTTTGACATATTAATCGCCATGTTCCTATAATAAAGTTATATTGGATTGGATTGAGATGCTAAAATCATAATATTGTTTTTAAAATCATGGCCACGTAAAATATTTTTCCTTTAGTTATTAACCCGATAGAGTCATTTTTAAAATAAAATCAAAATTAATTAGTATAGCCCAAATGGAAGAATATTATAAATTTTTATGTGAGTAGTATTAATTAATATGTTTTATGTTTTCTAAAAGTTAAATGGGTTAAAAATATTCCAATTTTATTTTATGATAAGCCTATTGTGATCATGTTGAGTTGGACTTTTGACATCTATTGATACTAAGCCTAGTTAGGCAGCACAATGTAGGTATTGATGTCTAATTAATTAGACTTCTGTGATGGGTGAATCCATCAAACACACTTTTGACTAAGGTTATGCTATACGTCCCCCCTCAAGCCTATACAATAGGGTTATACCTTGATAGTCGCCATGCTCCCATCACAAAAAAGGCTGCCTCATATGTTATAGGCCATAGAGAGGAAGATCTTAGTAGGAGGAACAACTCTCACTCAAGTTTGTTCAGCAAATTAGATTGCCCAATCAAGTATTCCTTATTCCTGAACTTTAGTTATTCATATGGTGTTTTATTGATTATATATGTATCGATTCTATAGATGAATTGTTATAGAAAATTTCTTACAATATGAAGTCACAGATATGTTTAAAAGTGATGCTCAAAATCCTTTTAAGATCCATCATAATTCCTTTTTAAATTAACTTTTTTTAATACAATGGCACGTTCTATATACGCATGCTTAAAAGTAATTTTATTGTATTTTTGTTTCATGCATTGACGACATGAAGATGAATTCCTTATATAGGAGAGAAAGGAAAGGGGAAGGAGCAAGGTTTTTTTCATGTGAAACTTAAATATGACTTCTCCAATGCATGACTTACAAATATGAAAAAGAATCAAATTTATGCCTTTCTTTTATTCTTTTGTTTTTCTTTGTTTTTATAATAATATCAATTTTTCATGTTTTTTATTCTCTCAAATAAAAGAACAAACTTGAATAAAGTCAGGTGTTCACAATTACTCTTCTTTACTTGGTTCTTAGAAGAGAAGGACAATATCTTCTCTTGGAGTAAGTATTTCTTTACTAAAAGTAGGATAAAATAGGACTTGAGTGACATTAATTAAAAAGGGTAGATAAAATAAGTAAGTTAAGTGAATTATTTTTTTCAATTTTAGCGATTGTGTATTCTGCAGAAGTACTGAAAGTATTTTTAAGAGAAGATGAATAATCATATATAATTATTATATTATCGTAGTACATGAATACAAATTTTGTCTCAAAAAATAATAAATGTTGAATTTATGTGAAAAATTAAATGACTGATTTATGTTAAAACAATGAATAACTTAATTTATGTGAAAACAAAAAATTGATGAATTTATTTGAAAGCAATATGAATTTATGCCAGAAGAGTAAAGATTGATTGGTTAAATTTAAGCGAATGAGTGAATGTAACAAACTTTGCATTAAATTAACCCGCTCTATCATGAAAACTGTCTTATCCTAATCGAATTACATTGATCCCCTCTATGTTTTTAACCCATTCTTCTCCCTTAACATATTATACCTCAATCCACTTCAACTGTGTTACTTCTAATTTGATCTTACGCAATTCACTTTTGATTTCTTACTCTGTCGGGCTATGATATTTTTTCTTTTTGGCCTTTCAATCCAAGTCGTGGTTTATTAGAATGCAAAAGGAAAACAGCAGTTTAATTAGAAATGTTTAAAAATGGACACTTGGTATATTTGTAGATTGGAGGCAATTATTCTATACAAAAAAAAAGATTGGAGGCAATTAACCCCTTTAATAAAAAGGCTCATAGACTAGTCTATCAAAAAAAAAAAAAAAAGGCTCATAGACTACACTACAGAATATATATGTCAAGTGTAGGGGATTTTTTTTAAACCTTAAACATTTAATCGTTTTAATAATAAAAATGGTTAGTCTATAAATAGGACAATGATAAGTTGTTCATTCAAAATTTGTTAACTGTTATGTACCGATTTAATGGATCTTTCACAATCGGGCTCACGATTTGTAAAGAACTTTGGTGGTGTATGTAAAGAACCTTGTGATACATCACCCTAAAAGCTAGCTCAAAGGGTGGGAGTGCCCAAAGTCTTATAAACTCCACATTAGTTGCTCATACAACCAATGTGAGATTATATATCTCAACACGATTCAACCCTAATCACTCTGTTAAAAACCTTTATAAAAATGAAGTTTCATCTCACATGTATGCACTTAAAACCCTAATCTCTTCGTTGTTATTCTGAACACATCATTCCCTCTAACTTACTGCCATCCTATAGTGGAAACAGTGATCAAAATGTTACTGTTTGACAATTTTTTACTCAAATATCACGCGAATAATACTTTTTATTATACTTCCACGCGATGTGATTCACTACGACTGGTAGCGAATTACGTTCGCTTATAATTTCGTGACACGTGATCACATTACGTACCAAATTCGCTATTATTAGTAGAGAATTTCATCTAGTCAATTTTTTTTTGCGAAAATATGCTACATGTTATAAAATTATTGACGAACATAATTCGCTACCAGTTATAATGAATAATAAAATATACTGTTCACGTGATATTTAAATATAAATTTTATCAAATAGTGGCACACCGGTGGATCTTTCCCATAGTGCACAGAAATCCATTTCTACCTATAAACACCGTCAACCCAAGATACAACATCAACCTTTAATTCAACCTGATCAAACATTAACATATCACATCCATTCGATCAGCTACACATTACAAGATTATTATTAATTATCTTAAAATCAGTGTAGTTAAGATCTCTCCCTAAAAAGCTGTAACTCTCAAAGCACTTATGATTGGATCGCCGGTGTCTTAGATACCTAGATGAACATTTGAATATTTGTTTATCCCAATAAAATCTGCGGTACAGGTCACTCTGTTACCAATAAAGTTTCACAAGCAGGGTCCCTCTTAACCTCACATGCAAAAAATAAATAAATAAAATAAAAATTAGAAACACGCTTGTTCTCCCTCAGTTCCTTCCATCTCACACACCACCCCCATAAAAGCCTCTTCCAAAAGCAACAGCTCACAAACTTAATTGTCTCTCATATCTCTCCTTTCCACGTTGTGGGTTTCAAGCAATACACAGAACACCGAAAACTGAGCAATGTCAAGCTCAAGAAGAAAGCTAGTTTTGAACACTGTGTCCGTGAACCTAGGCTGCGGAAGCTGCAGAAGACCAAAGCTTCGTTACATATTCCACCCAAAGCCAAAACCCAAGAACCCCATCTTCCAAAAACACAAGCTTTACAATAATTCTTCTTCAACACCGTGTGGTGAGGACAGAGATGACACTGCCACCACAAGCACCACCAACACCACGTTCTCTCCATTCTACGTCGAGTCATCACAGTTTTGTGTCAGAGGATTCGGAAGAGTTGGAAGCGAAGGCGTGGCCATAGAGAAAGATTCTGAAGACCCTTATATTGATTTCAAGCATTCCATGCTCCAAATGATATTGGAAAATGAGATATACTCAAAGGATGATCTTAGGGAGCTTCTGAACTGTTTTCTTCAGCTGAATTCACCGCACCACCATGGCGTTATTGTCAGAGCTTTCACTGAGATCTGGAATGGGGTCTTCTCTGTTAGGTCCAATTCCCCCAGGTTTCCCTTGACCCGTAAGTCACGTGACTTCTAGCTTCTGCACGTGACTAACATTTTGTATAAGTGCTAATCTATGTAATGTACTAGTTTGTGAAATCTAGTCAACTAAGTAACTTGCTTACGTTGTTGTGTTGTGCCACACATTTTGATAACCGAAACCAACAAATGAAACTCTCTGTTTTTTGCTTCTGTAAGAGTAACATTAGACCTGCTATGAAATCAAATTACAAAAAACAAAAAAAAAAAGGCAATTGCTTCTATTAACAGCTTGAAAGATAGTTTGTCAACTTTTATGTTTAATTTCATGCTTTAGCAAAGTGAAAATAATTTTTTTAATTTTGATTATGAAGCTGGATACAATTCAACCATATAAATGACTCTTTCATTTTTCAGAGGAAACAACTGCGTAAATTAGCATTTGTTGCTGACCTTGTTCTCTAAGTTTCAATTAACTCATTTTAAGTTTAAGATAATTTATAATTGAAAGTTTTTTATGAGTGTTTTAAAAATGACTTTTTATTTTACAATTTAATCAAAACCCAATATGCCAGTTGTATAACGTTAAAATAGTTGAATAAATATCTTTTATTTTCGTTACATATTTAATTTATTTATTTTTTAAATATTAACTGATGTCCAAAATTCTAACAAATTTTATTTTAAATTTAAATTTCTCTATTGTCTCCAAAAAAAATAATTTAAATTTCTGTATCTTTTTAAAAAATTATGACTATCACTCTATAAAAAATATTTATGGTATATCCATCACACATTGCATTTGATGCGATGGACCAATAGAAATGGAGCATCAACTATGATATTTGTACGGAAGATAGTAGAAAATATTTTTTTGTCCAAATATTAATTTCTAAATGGTAGATGCAGGTACTATAGATGTATAGAAAATGATTTGAATTGAATTCACGGCTTTTTTACTCTTATAACCCTTTATTATTAATTAATTACCGATTTGACCTTGATTATAAACTATTTCAAAAATTTAACCTCCTCAAAAAATATAACACCAATCTGCCCCTGTTTGACCGTTGACCACCAAGCCTACCCGGGTACACCCCTCTGTACCCGGGTATTTTTTGAAAATTTTTGTCTACCCGGGTAGGGAGGAGTGTACCCGGGTATTGTTCTTCGCACCTGAAAAATTACTTGAATTTTTTACCTGGGTAGAGAGGGGTGTACCCGGGTAAATCTTCGACCACCCGAGTATGATTACTCTTTGGATCTCCCATCCACTCTTCTTCTCCAAGCTTTGAATATGGAGGCACCCACTATCACGTGCTCCGCCTCTGCAACTTTTTTGGGTCTGTAAAGCACAAATATTTTTCAATGATTATTTCAGAAAGGGAATTATCAGTTAACACTATAAATCCACAACCACAAACCTTGTCCCATGCATATCTTCCCTGAACGTGATAATTCATCATTTACCAGTAAAATGAAAAGCTGCATGCTCACACTAAATTTCTGTACCATGAACCATGTCTTTATTTTCTTTCCGTCTCACTCTCCCCAATAGACCCGGTACCACATTTATATATAGGAGCGCGATTTTGACGTACATAAAAGTAGACCCCATCATAATCGATACGAACAGGGACCGCTTTGATGAGCAGTAAAGTGTTGATGTATGGAAATTCCAAATCCATTCTCAAAGCTAAAAGCTCTTCAAATTGGATAGGCATGCTTAACTTGATAATACTGATCTATCTCATTAGCTGTAAAAAAGAGAGAAAAAAAAATTACCATGAAACAATTAATTACACATCCGCAAATATAATTAACTTGTGGTAAAATCAAATAAATCATATCTGTTCTTATATCCATCAGCTACAAGTTGCCCCAGTTATAGCAAGTACCAAATGGGTGGTCGAAGATTTACCCGGGTACATCCCTCTCTACCCGGGTAAATAATTCAATCAATTTCTCAGGTACGAAGAACAATACCCGGGTACACTCCTCCTTACCCGGGTAGAAATTTTTTTTCAAAAAATACTCGGGTACAGAGAGGTGTACCCGGATAGGCTTGGTAGTCAACGGTCAAACAGGGGCAGATTGGTGTTATGTTTTGTGAGGAGGTTAAATTTTTGAAATAGTTTATAATCAAGGTCAAATCGGTAATTAATTAATAATAAAGGGTTATAAGGGTCAAAAAGCCTGAATTCACTGATATAATTAAAAATATTAAAATGAGTCATAATCACCTACGTACTAAAATATTATTTATAATCACCTACATCTCTCCTTCCGTTTATTTTTTTATAGTATAAGTAAGCACTGTGCGTGGCCGTGTGGAGCAACGAATCCAGGTCTGGCCCCTCATGAATTTGGGTTTGGTACGGGGATTTGGTCAAAAATAGTTACCAACTTGCCAGGTTTTGGAGAAAATTTAATAGATTTTATAAGAGTTACGTTGTAAGAAAAATAATTATATTATATTATAGAAATTCATTTTGCGTGTAATAATATTTTTTTTTCTTCAAATCATGCGAGTCTCATAAAATGTTGTGTGTAGAAAATTTTTTGTGATCATGTTAAATGATAAATACAAACCTTAAATTTAATACGATCCAGAGCATTGAATGTTTGGATACTTCCTTTTACAAGCACAATTTTTTTTTTCAGTTTTATTTATATTTTTTTTTCTTTTTCTTTTTCCCTTTTATCCTCCCTATTTGTGAGAAGGAACACACAAAAAATGGTGTTTCAATTGCACCGAAAATAATCTCCAGATTTTGAGTACTGACTAGTGTGGCAAAGATGGAAAGATATAAGCATTGGGATTTGAACTACAAATAATAAGCATTGGGATTTGAATTACTAATAATAAGAATGGTCAGAGCCTGGAGGGACAGATGGTTTAATGCCTTTCAATGAGATGAAGGCAGAAATTTCTGTGACAGACTTGAATGCTTTTCCCAATATTGGAATTGAAGTTTGGGTACTCCGTACTATTTGTTTTTATTATAATTGCCAGTTGGTATGTATCTATCAACACTTTCTTGTTGCTATTGAAGTACCTATATATATATATATATATATATATATATATATATATATATATATATATATATATATATTTTCCATTTATTTATGTATTTCAACACTCATTAGTCATTACTCGACTATAGATAGTGCATGCATTTAGTTCCTCTTGTGCATTGATAGTATGAATGCCGGCCGGTAGCTCTATTTGAATTTAAACCCCACAAGGGAGGTAGGTTCCAATGGTTGATCAAGGTCACCAAGCATTTATATCTACCACAAAAGACTCTAATCTTTTATTAACATGAAATTATGTTAATTAAAATATCTCTCAACCTTGACCTTAAATTAAAGACACTGAAGATCACTTGCTGAAGAAGTATGAAGAATGGCTGCTAACTATTTTAGTTTCACATAATGAGTCATACATCATTTAGGGTACTATATAAACTTCCTAACACTAACTTAGAAAGAATATTGATAGGAAGGGGTCATTCACAAAAATATCTTTGGTACTTTCATAATATGAAGATTCAGTACATTACTTATTAAAATTTGTTATAAGTAATATAATTGACTTAACTCATTCTACTCATCCCTTGATGGTTAATGTCACATAAGCCCCACTTTTTCTTATTTTTAATAAATGAGTACCTATTAAGATATGCTCATTTAACTTAGGTTGTTCATGAATTTCCTGCGAGTCAAAGTATATAAGATATGAAATATTTTTTTTTTTTTTTATCATTCAAAGAAAATTTAAGTGAGTTTTACTTTTACTTGAATGATCCATATATTGATAGACTGAAGGGGAAAAAAGCATGGATGCAGATTTTTAGCAGCAGTTTTCAGTGAGTTGAATCTTCAAAGGACAAAATAAACCCAAAAAGATGTGCTTTTAATCTCTCTGTCTCTCTTATTATTAAATAAGATTCTGGATCAGGAGATGGATTTAAATGTGGCCTAGTTTCAAGGGATGGTCAAATCTTCATGGTAGTGGAAACATAGTGGGTCATTATTAAAATCAAAATCCAGACCATATAACACAATTTGTCATAAAGATATGTAACTAAATTAGCAAGTTGTCCAACTCAGCCTTGTCAAATACTTGCTTTTATTGCTTCCATGATTATAAATATCTTATTTGTGAATAATAGTATTAAAACTCTTTTCACTAAAAAGTTTGGTTCTATTTCAAAGGAACTTAATCGAAGTTGAGAACTTGAGAGGAGAACATAAATCGGAACATGAAGCCTCTGGAATAGACATAATGACAATCTTTATCTTGTCACCTCTTTTTTGGATAGTGGGAAACATCTTTGTACTTGTGTAGGCCAGAGTTAACATGATTTGTTACCTGAACTGAAATCAAAGTTGTGTTATGATTTATCATCAACAGAGAGAACTAAAAAAGTTTATACAGAAAGATGTTAATTGGTCTTGTCTTCACAAGAAAAGCAAACTAGCTTCTGATGGATCTATGCAATGAGTTGGTATTTTGGACTTTGGCACAAAAGATATAATGAGAGTATTGGCACACACTTTCTAAAATTTGATCTCAATCAACCTTAATATTTATTTATTGATTGATTGAAAACCTTAATCTTTATTAATAGTTTGATCAAATGTGCACTCGTGTATTCTAGTGTGTGTATAAACTAAGCTGCATCATATTACATGAGTGGATAAGAGCTTCTTTTCTGTTCTGTTTTCTTTCTTTTATTCTTTAGGTCCCCCAGGGCCAAGGGCTGCCCTTGCTACTTCCTACTTCCTAGGCAAAGCTAGAGTACTCAGTGTGACTATTTGCACATCGCTAGCGGACAAAAAATAATTATTATAATCAGCTGCTGATCTCAAAAATAGAGTAACCTCAACCTCATATAAGGTGTGCGCTTGTTTCAAGAGATGAAATTTTTATAAATTACTTTACCTTTGTTTACTATATAAATGTGAAAACTCATTTTACTTTTATTTTAAAAAGTCAATATCCACCAAAAAAAGAATAAAAAAATTCAGTCATTCTAAAAAGTGAGT